TAATTCAATTCCACAAACATTTAAGCACTGCCCATAACGTACAAGGAAGCACAGGAATACTAAGGCAAAAAAATGAAATCACATCTTTTCTTAAGACGACTTACATTTTAGAAGGACCAATAAATATATACAAAAATAAGTAAGTACAAAGAGCATGTACAAAGTTATATAAAGCAATTTCAAGAGGGAGAAAGTAGAAATGAATGGGGGCTGTGAGTGGGTGCCCAGAAAGGAGGCAAACTCGACATGGCATCTGGATATGTGCTTTGGGGGCAGCTGGGGATTCTACGGGTGTACGTGAGAGAAGAGTATTTTCTTGGGGTGATGCCACTGGATGATTTTGTGGAATAGCTCAAAGTCAAGCCTGGTGGGTCACAGGATCCTCTGTCTTGGCCCAATATTGTTTAACATTTTAACAACAACTTGTGGGTAGAAGGGAACAAGCATTTAGTAAACACCTATTATGTTTCAGGAACTGTGCCCTAAGTGCTTTACAAATATTATCTCATTTGATCATAAAAGGCATACTAATCAAGTCAGGTGGCACATAATTAATGTGCTAGATAAGGTCTACATTAAACAATGCCAACATTCTAGAACAATGAGTTAACGTTAAGATTATAACTTAACAGGGATAAATGTAAATCCTTCACTTAAGTTAAAAGAATAAAATTCAGAGGCATAAGATGGGGGAATCTGGCTTCAGGGCAGTCCATATTTTTTAAAACATGTGGATTTTCGGGCAGCTAGATGGCACAATAGATAAAGCACCAGCCCTGGAGTCAGGAGGACGTGAGTTCAAATGTGGCCTCAGACACATGATACTCCCTAGCTGTGTGACCCTGGGCAAGTCACTTAACCCCAACTGCCTTGCCAAAAACAAAACAAAGTAAAACATGGATTTTGATCACCATAGTTTGATAGTTACCTAAAAATATTAATTCATCTTGGGTTATATTAATGTAAATACAGTTTACAAATTATAGAATCACACATTTAGAGCTAGAAACACCCTCAGAGATCATCACATCAAAGCCAATTATTTTCCAAATTAAGAAACAGGCCCACAGAGGCTAAGTGACTCGCTCAAGGTCACACAAGTAGTAAGTGGCAGAGATAAAAAAAAAATTTAATGTATTAAGCACCAGAACCTATTATGTGCCAGACACTATGCTAAGCACCGGGGATACAGAAGGAGGCACAAGACAGCCCTCAAGAACCTCACAATCTAATGGCGGAGACAACATGCAAATAAATTCATACAAACAAATTTTATACAAGATAAATAGGAAATAATTAACAGAGGGAAGGTACGAGGATTAAGAGGGTTTGGGAAAGGCTTCCTGTAGAAGATGAGATCTTAACTGAGACTTAAGGAAGCCAGGATAATGAGGAGGAGGAGCTGAGGAGGGACAGGATTTGAACTCAGGTACTCTGACTCCAAGTACTCTCCCAACTCTAACACTCCTGGATGATCAGCCCACACCTGGATCACTGTTTCCCTGGAGAGCCTCCATACTCTAATAGGGTCATTGATAAATGAGAGATCATTCAGGATAATGAGAAATCTTGCTCTGTATATGACTAAGAGTTGAAAGAAGAGAGGTTGAACTTGGAGATGAGAAGACCTAGAGGGAACAAGAAAGCTACTTTCCAAGATCAGAATAGCTATCAAAATTTGACTACGTCTCCCATAAATCCTCAGTGATATTTAGCACAGTGCCTGGGACACAGAAAGTATTTAATACTTGTTACTTTGATTTGTGCAAGAGGAAAACGTGGGCTGGTATATACTGTGGTATGAATAGACTTAATTCAATTCAATGAATATGTTACAAATGTCTCTAATATATGAGCACAAGGATTATAGTTATGCTATACAGCTCTCAAGGACAGAACTACGACCAATGGGTGAAAGTTACAAGAAGGCAGATTTTAAGAATTTCTTGCAATCAGTGCTAGCTATTAATGGAATTGGTTGCTTTGAAAAGTAATGCATCGGGGCAGCTAGGTGGCGCAGTGGATAGAGCACTGGCCCTGGATTCAGGAGGACCTGAGTTCAAATCTGACCTCAGACCAAACACTTGACACTTACTAGCTGTGTGACCCTGGGCAAGTCACTTAATCTCAATTGCCTAAAAGCCAAAAAAAAAGAAAGAAAGAAAGAAAGAAAGAAAGAAAGAAAGAAAGAAAGAAA